GTCAATGATACAATATGTTGACAATATAGTCTTTTCAATAAAATATGATGTTGTGATCTAATATTGTATAAACGGTTGACCTTAAATGAAGCGAATGAGATCCCAGCAAAGCATACTATTAAGACAAAGGGCAAACGGAAATCAAATGTATACAAAATCCTCTTTAAATGAAACATTTACTATGAACTTTTCCTGCATAACGTCATTACATGGTCTTTAACAAGTTTCAGGACATCATTAATGTAAGTTAGGCGAGAGATCTACAGTATATTTGAATCCCATAGAAGCGTAATAATTAATACTCAGTTACAAAGCAATATATACAAAGGCTCGGATTTTCCATCATTTTTGATCAATAAAGGATAACTGACAACGGAAGGTCCCAGAAACACTTATTTTTTATTTCAAAGAACCGTAATAATGTTCTGTTAAATGTCTGTTAACGATTATGAACTGTTTTTTTTTAAATTTGTGGCATGATAAGAGTTATTCACAAAAGACAGAAATAAATGACCATAGGACACAAAGCATACATGTATGTGGGCGCATGGTCAGAATGTTTTTTGCATTGGAGATTTGCAGTCGTGTTTACAAAAATATGAGATACGGACACCTTGATCCTTGCACGGGCATGTTTTACACAAACGCGCGCACACATGCACACGCGCCCACGCACACTCACACACACAATGAATATAAAAGAAAGAATATACAAAGGAAAATTAAAAGATAAAAAAAATGATTTGAACTTCAGGCGAAAACGTTGGTCTACTTCCAACATTTTTTTTTTTTTTGCACATAGGGTATATTGCAATTTTTTTATATGAATGAAGAAAGATACGGCTACTGTTCATTCGAAGAAAATTCACTTTCAATATTTTATCGTGGATAAAGCGGTGTCACAGTCAATACAGCAATTCACAAGTGCGACTCTCATCAATTACAAACCAACAGTAATCAGTCAAACAGGATGGCTTACACACTGACAGATACTTGTAAACCATATTGAATGTGTTTTATTAGGGGACTTAATACCTTATAAATGCAAAATAGCTTCCTTCCAGTTTTTTTATATTAAAAACTTCCCTTAACATAATTGAAAAAATAAATAAATAAACACTTTCTGAACAAAGAGATTCTGTGCTGTTTCTTTTTCATTCACTACCCACGTGTTTCTCCTTTTTTGTTTCTTCTCCTTAAAGAACTTTTGTTTATTAGAAATGGTTTGAGAGACTACAGCATAGGCTAGGGGTGCTGCTGGCGGGGATGGGGGTGGGAGTAGGCGGGAGAGGTATCATGTTGTCGTCAGTTGATAAAGGCCACAGCAGCAATTAATGGCTTCATTAGAGAAATGTTAGGACAGGAAACAAGCGGGCCCTAAGACATAATTAATAGTCATGATTGTTACAGGTAAATAATCCCAGTCGTCTTCTCGTTAATGTTACCTTCTTAAAATACAGGTTATGATAAGGGGTTGACCAATTAAGGACTAATTGGAAATATTATTTTTAGCAAACTAAATGGATAAAGCCCGGCAGTTCTGTAGAAATGTAACGAGTACCTTGAACTTGCACCCACTGTACCATACCGTATACTCTTTATACTTAGATACCAGTACAATTTAATGAACCGTGTAGCGGTACAACTGTGCCCTTTTTGCACCACAGCTGCAATGTAATCTCGTGTAAATCTCCGTGGGAAATAATCTTCGACTTCTCCATGTCTTTAATATGAATTCAGTTTTGAAGTAACTGTTACATTACTGTATCTGTAGGCCTTTATTTTTTTTATCTATTTACTTATTTATTCATTTACTTGCATTTGCAATATACCATATAGGTAAAAGGGTCAAATTATTTGCACAAAATACTCAAAGAAACTGATTTTTGATCACTTTTTGCCGTGCTCCGAATCGAATGCACTTTCCTTATAGTTTTTCAGCATCTTTCTCCACCGTATAAGACTATATATAAGACTATATATAAAGCTTTAATATGCAAAAAAAAAAAAAAAAAAAAAAAGAAAAAAAGAACACCGCATAATATGGTAGACTCTGGTTACGGATTAACTGTATTTCACTGCACAGATGATGCCACGGATGTATACACTACACACGCTCGTGTCGCTTACTCAAAAAATATGGATTTAGACAAAGTGACTAATTGGGCTGTCTCGTCGAGGGATCCGATGTCGCACAATTTCCGCCTTTCATGTACTAATTAGTTCACCTTCACTGTTGTGGTACGCGTGTAGAACAAATGAAAAACAATTGATAGGCTCTGTGCAACCAACATCGATTTGTTTTCTACTTAGTGAATTACCTGGTGTCCGTTTCCTAGAATAATTAAATTGCCGAGGGAGCGAATTGTGTTTTTGCTTTAATTACGCAAGATGCGAGGCTTCAGTGCTCGCACACCGTATCAAGGTATGTGAACACGAGGCTGACGTCCNAATAATAATACTTTGAGCATATAATGAGTTATGTTTATAGGCTCTCTAAACTTCTGTCTGTATACCATTTGGAATAATAAAAAGACAGCCACAGCATCTGTTCTGGTGCATACATCAAGAGCTGCAAACACAGCATCATCATGATCTGATGTGTAAGACCCCATTCCCATAGATTTTAGATCAATCTATCCCTGTGGGGAGACTCACTAGATTACTGTCAGCTTAGCCAGCTTAAGCGTCTGTCCCACCTACTTAAAGCTGTAAGGGGGTAATTAACTATGGTGCGCGCTTGGCTGACTGCAATTTAGTGTGAACCCCCAGGGAGTTGGGTCGATCTAAATCTAAATCTCTGGATCGATCTAAATCTCTGGGAATGCACCCTTAGTTCAGAGTAATAATGGAGACTGATGCCAGCCAATCCTGGAAACAAGTTTTCTCTGTAATCATTGTGGCCATCAATGTGGCCTCTTAAGTCATTTATTACATGGGATTCCAAATGTCACTGATCACTGTGAAGATCAAGAGAACTGGGTACGGTAATGACGCAATCTTTTCGATGGGTGAAAATGATCGAACTTTGAGATACATCATTTTAAAACCATAAATATTATATTTTTATATAGCATATGTGGTGCTTTTAATGCATAGAATAGCACTATAAGGTAGTCTGCTTTTCAATTTTGTTGCCACCACTCAATAGGATTGCTCTTATTTTAAGAAATTATTACTTTAAAATACAGTATCTGTAAAATTCACAATTTTCCACCATTGAAAAAATGGAGTAATTACCATACACTGCTGCAGTGGTTGACAGACTGTCAGGGAAAATTTACCATGGTTCCAATATAACACTGATTGGTGCTCAAGGCCAGGGTAAGAATAAGTGATTTAAAATGAACTCAAAAGATGTAGTGAGTATGAAATGGAATAAAGCTAGAAATGGATATATACCTTTGAATTTTGGCATTCTCTCTGTCAAGCAATTGCAGCAGCAGTGATTGGATTTCTGTAAAAAAAAAAAATTAAAAACTGGTAAAATAGAAATGTGTTCATGATTTGAACAGGGGCCATAAATAGCACTCCCACTCCTCCATATCCATAAAACACGGATATAAAAAGTATAATGGCTTCCTGTAATTCTTAGCTAGGTAGCTACACACATATGGTCTATTGATTTATTAAACCAGAAACTATCGTGGAAAATCCTGAAAGAACACTTAATCTGATTATTTCAGGAGACAGTTGAAAGGGACATTAAATAGGATATATCATCTTTTTTTCAAACAAGGTTTAACCTGGTAATGTCATTTGAGCAGAGCCAGCCTATTGCCCTAATCGCCAGTACAGGAAGTGAGCTCCAATGGGAGGGAGAGAGATGCGTTTTTAACATTATACGTCAGAATATCTTGTGGGGTTGCTTGGGAGCACTACTTCCAAGTAGTTCATAAAAAGATGTCATGTGTTTTTTGGGATTTAAAGGTACATTATTGTTACAAGGATTCATAATTGTACTTTGAGATATTTGTCAGAAACAAAAAGGATTTATTTTTATGTACACTCTGCACAAGAAATATTTGTCAGAGTTAAGAGTTGCAGCATGAGAACCATTCTTGCTTAACATTTTATTGAACTTTGGCTTTTAGCAGAAGCCTTGTCCTGTAATTTTCAGCTGAATTTATTTGATACTTAATGTGTGTGTGCGTGCATGCGTGCATTAATGCTTGTTCTAGATTTAATTGTATCAATTTCATTAGTGATCTTATTATGTGAATTTGACCAGTCTAATAAGCCAATCCTATCTTGTTTAAAACTTTTTTGGTTGCGCAGATTGATTTTGTAGTCGTAAATTGCCTTAGGGCAAAAATGCGATGAAGCTAAATAGGAATAGTGATTTTGCTTATTATAGAATTTTTAAAGCCACTTAACGTTCTAACTAAAGCGACAGTGATGAATTCACCTTTTCTCTTTTGTCATATTTTGCTTGAAATGATCACTATTAATGCTCTCTTGGGCACCCTCACTTCTCAGCTTCATCTCACAATACACATATCCCTGCTCGTTAACTCACAAATGTAGTCATTAGTCTTTATCCGGAGATTTATAGGACTTCTTATGTTGCAGTGCACCAGCTTTGCTGCCAGCACTCTGAGCTTGGCAACTGATACAGCCACCAAGGAAGACAAGAACAGATTACCAGTTGGTGAGTAGTTGCAATTGAAGGCTGGGAGAAGAATTCGGGCTTATTTCCCAATGACACTAACTTTATACCTAGATCGATCCAACTCCATGGGGACTCTTGCTGAATGCAATCATATTGAACAAATTAATATGCCTCTTCTTGTTTCCAACATACTTGTATAATCACCAGTTTTTCTGCAGTGTACTCAACACCAGGAGGAGGTGTGTTAGTCTGGTAATATAACTGTATTCAGCCAGAGTTCTCAACACCAGGAGGAGGTGTGTTAGTCTGGTAATATAACTGTATTCAGCCAGAGTTCTCAACACCAGGAGGAGGTGTGTTNTCCTTTTTTTTTTTTAATTATCAATTTTCTTTCAGGAAAAGTTTATTTTTATTGTATTCTTCTCTTATAGATGGTTACCAAATATATTTATTGGAAGTACAGAGTAGTTTCTCACCAGATGCAAGGGGTAAATTGTTCAGTAGTTAAAGTGTGACTGCTCCACTTCAGGCCTACTCAACTACCAGACTCAGCACCAAATGAGCCGGAATTCACAGGTAGATCGGACCACACTACCCGTTTTCAAGGAGTGCATCAGTACGCATTTCACTGTATCATACCCCGGAACAAATTTTGAGATGAGATGCACTACTTTCCAACCCCGCTGAGAATCATCACTATCACATCTCATTCTAGGCATGAGTGGAGTCACATCTGATACTTCAAAGAGCGTTCTGATAGAAACCTTGAAAACGGATAGTGTGGTCCGATCTAACCGCAAATTCAGGATCATTTGGTGCCGAGTCTGGTAGTTGGGTAGGCCTGCACTTGATCATGGTGTTAGGTTACACTGACAAATTTCAATGTTAACTGTGTTATATTTTTGTTCCTTAATTTGGCATGCATGAAAGCATGTATGATGAGAGTGAGATATCAATTTAAATAAATTGTTTATTGTGTGGCTGTTGATTTTTTATCCACTCTGTTGCTCTCAGTTTTGCTTCACATATACCTTTCTTTTAAAACATGAAGCATGACTTGAATTTCTTTATTTATTTCTTTATTTTACCAATAATAGCTTTAAAGAATACATGGCTTTAATTTTTGAAATGTTGCGATGCCATGATATTTGGAATAAAAAATGTTTTGAGGCTTCACTGAAAATTTTAAAGATACATATCAAAATGTGTACATGATTCATGAAGCATGCATGTATGTATGTATGTAGGTGATGGCTAGAAAAACATTGCCTAACATTTTTTGTGAGTTACCCTTTTGGAAAAAATGTCATATGATTTTACTTTTCTAATTTTATGTTATTCTGTGTGCTATGTATTTTGATTTAATTTATTTAGTATTACAAATTCAAATCACTTTCAAAGTTTAGGGTTGCAAAATGGTATAATAGTTACACAGGTCTAGCAGGAATGGGGAATTTACTCCTTTAAAAGAATTCCCTATTTTTTTATATATCACTGCAAAAAAGAATTGTTAGATTTTGTCTAAATGCCAAAAAATGAAGGGAAATAGTACAGTACAGTAGCGGTGTTAGTTTGGTTAGAGCATCCCTCCTTTTATTCTGTTCTCTCCTCTTATCCTAGAAATTATTAGACATGTTTCCACCAGAGTTGAACTGTGTGTACTTGAGTCCCTCTCAGGTGGTGGTCTGATTACGATAAGTGCACCATTGTAGCCATTCTAATCCTTTGGTTCTCCAGTACTCTGCTGTTATAATCTACCAAACAATGTTTCTGTACAGTGGCCTCTGTTTGGGCTAATGTACATATTGTAATCAGGCTGACTCCTGATTTGGATCAAATCAGAGATAGTTCAACTCAAGTCAACAAGAAACACAATTTCTGCTCCCAGAATTGGTCCAGGTTTTATTAATCTGTCAATAACACTTGTGAGATTCAGGGCTAGCACTGGTTGGTGTATTATTAGGCATAATAAGGTTAACACACACTTTATTACTCACTAGTGTATTAAAACACTTAGGTGTATTCTGAACAAGACCGCATTCAGAACAGTGGACTAACTACAGCCAGGGTCAAATATGGCCGACCATATGGGGAATCTATTCAATGTCTATTACACGGATTAGACAGCAAGCCTTTTAGTGAGTCATCATATTTGAGCTAGTTAGTCCACTAGTTAGTACACTGTTCTGAATGTGGCCCAAGTTGATCTGTAGACTAACTGATCTACAGATGAAATATGGCTGACCTACTTGAAAGCAATGTGACATAACTCCCCGCCTCTCACACATGCTGTCCCTGCAGGAGCACAGCAATTTAATCTTAGCCCAGAGAGCACAGTCTTGGGCCAAGGCATGCAATGATGAAGATGGCGAAGAATTCTTTAAAAAAATTATTGCATTGAGATGGTGATTTGTGTCATAGATCATCACCAAAATTAAATCACTTTTGAGCTCATCCATTGGTGATCTATCCTGAACCTTTTATCAAAATTAATCCTTAAATTCTTGACTAAGGTTGGTGACAAACGGACAAATTAACAAATTGTGGTGAAACTATAAATTAACCTCCTGGGCATAGGTAAAAGTACACCGAACAATTCCAAACTGATTTTCTGCCAATTGGACTTTTAGTACTCCAGGGTCTGAGAGTCTTTTGTCCTAAAGCAGAAACGGTAGTCAGCAGCTGAACAAATTATTTACAAAGTCTTAGACATCTAAATTCAGATAGCCATCTAAGCATAGTCAGCTTTCTGATATTGGTCTACTTGGAGCTTTTTAAGTATTAATGACTAGCGATCCATGTGTTTGACTGTGACATAGCGAAATGGACTTCTGTCACCTTTGAGAGTAATTACCTTTCAGGGCATTCACAGGTAGTTGAAGTGGCTTTAGTTATTAGTAGTTGAAAGAGGCAAACTGGATAATTAATTTTTTTTATTCTTTGAGAAACAACTCAGTACTAGTGCTTACAAGGGTAAGTCTTGAAAGCCTTTAATATTTCACTTCTAAATTAGATTATTTTGTGAAATGGGGCACCAAATTACAAAACACATCTCAATTCTGGCTTGCAATGTGTGAAATACTTTAAATTATTGATCATTGATCTAGACTAGTTAACATATCTGATTTGTATCCACTCGTTGAACTGAAATGAATTTTATCCTTATGTGCTTTGATGTGGTCCAGTGTTTGATTATTTTAGAATATTTGTACCTGGCTTGATGGTCCTTGCTCCTTCTCATGAAAAAGTATACTATAAGTAGTTTGGTACATTACTAACATTTGATTATGGAGACTTGGTTATTTGTGGCTAATATAGTATATATATGTGTTCATGTTTAATTTCACTGACTGGGTAACTATGTACTCCCATAAATGACAGTTATATATTTGTATTTGTATTGAGAGTAACAATTGAATGTTATTTTTTTGTTGTTTTGTCAATGACATGTATTAGTTTGATTTTGATCTTGGTAATTTGGTAACCATTCATAATTCATAATATTTTTGTGAAAACAATACAAGTTGAAAATTTTAGTAGAAACTCCCAATTTTGGACTACAAGGCAACAAATCAATGTGTTTCTTGAGAGCAACCATGTGCTACAAAATATTTATCATAAATCATAAATTGAAAAAAATTTGAAAAGAAATTCACCCTTTGAGCTACATTTATTTAAGTTATATCATTATTTTTTCAGTACACACGTTATTTGCACGTGGTCAACCGCCACACAATCGCCTCTTTAAAGTTACATCAGCTTCGACGTCTGTCAAACACCACGACATCGAGCAAGCTCACTACCAGGTGCAAACAGAGAAACCACTGAAGGCATTTAGGAAGAGGAAGGCATCCTTGGTGATATTCGACAAGGATGGAACGATGATATGTTTTCATGCAATGTGGGGGCCATGGGCAAGAATTGTGGCTAAAAAGTAAGTTTTAAGATGCACTGAGAGCATCACGGTGATTTTCAGAGGTTGCTGTAATGAAAAGCTTTATGGTCGGCATGCCTCTGCAATTTCCAGTAACACCCTGAGTTTCAGAGAGCAAGAAAATTTGATTCATGTAAGCAGTTTTGAAAGTTTGAAAGTACATTTGCAAACTTTAAATAACACAACTTCCTTTTTTAAATGGTGAGATTTACCTTTTGTCTTTAGGTCAAAATAACCCCCCAAGATTGAATTATGTTAAAACATTTCAAAAAGTACACTTAGCATCTAATTAAACTTCAGAATTGAAGAAGGCTCTGGCCTGAAAATAGCAGACAAAGTGTATGAAGTGTTTGGCTACTGTAACCAGAAGAACATCGTAGAGCCAGGAGTGCTGGCGGAGGGCACGTCAGCCATGGTGAAACAAAGACTTCAGAACTTACTGGTGTCTGAAGGGATAAACAAGGAGAGGGCAGTCCAAATTGTCAAGGACAGCTACGTTGAGGCTGACCACACGAGTAAAGAGTCATTACGACCTCTCGATGACTTGCATACCCTCTTTAGGGTGCTCAAAGAGCACGATATGAAGATTGCCATATGCACATCAGACTCGAGGTACGGGACGCTTCAGTCATTGGAAAGTTTGGGACTCTTATCGCAGATAGACAGACTGGTTTGCGGGGATGATATAGATAATATCCCCAAACCAGCTCAGTATAATGCTAACATGATCTGCAGTGAGTTGAATGTGGACCCCTCGGAGGCGATCATGGTTGGAGATTCTCTGGCTGATGTTGGCATGGGACGGCTGGCTAACCTGGGTGGAAGTATAGGGGTCAGCACAGGTAAATCTGGTCAAAATGAGATCAAAGCTTTTTTGCTGTATACATTTTGACAATAACTGAAAAAGTTAACTCTGTCTAAAGAAATTTTTGAAAATATTTAGAAAAGAGGGACTACTGACAAAACTTTTATTGCTATTGCTAAGATGGCTTCTGCTGTCTGTAAGAAATTTAGTTTTAGGATCACAGCACAGATAAATCAGATAAATCATTTCTTTGTAAAACATTAGGAGGAAAATTTAAATCTACTATGAACCAAAATAAGTAACTCTTTGTGATACTGTTGGTGAAATATAATTATTGTATGACATGAAAAACAAGGCTAACTATTCAGACAATACTTAATTTTTCTATGAATGAATCTTAAAAAAAAAAATCGCACCAAGTTTTATTCTAAAAACTTGACCAATTTTTAGAAATTTGGTAGACTTCTATAAACCCTGTTTAAACAATCAGGCAGTTAGCAATGCCCCATATGTCTCCCCTATCTCTCCCTGCCCAGGTGTGACCCCTAGGGAGGAGCTGGAGCCCCACGCTGATGTGGTGGTGGACCGCCTGATGGACATTGTCCCCCTCATTTTACCAGCTGAGGTCCACAAAAACTACTCCCTGGTGGCTGAAGATGGACAGGTGCGCTATCCACCTCAGGTAGGTACTATATTTGTTATCGTTATTATTATTATATACACATAGTGACCACCAGTTCTGCTACAAACTTTGAAAGATACATGCAGTGTGTCTGGTCTCACTTCTTCACTCTGATATGTCTAGTGTATTCATTAAACTAACTTCCCTTGACCTTTACTTTTTACACAAAATAACCATTGACAAAAAAAAAAAAAAAAATTGAGACGACTTTGAGCCAAGGTAAATCACCAACTGAAGGTAAATTGGCAGTAGTGCAATAGATGGATATAAGTTTGAACAAGAAATGGATTCGAATTGGTGCTGTTTTAGACCAACAGTTCCTTGTAAGTAGATTACTTCATTTGTTATGGGGCCAGTTTCACAAATTTAAGGAACTTAGCCAAAAAATGGTTAAAATTTTTAGATCAAAATACGAGTTGTACATTTCCAACACAGCATAAGATCATCCAGTCTATTTGAGAAATGACAATTTCTTGAGATATGCGTGCCTAAAATTTATTTATATTTAAAGTTGCCCTTATTCTGTCCACAGACTGGAGCTGACCAGAGAGGAGCGGTCAAGCCCAGGCGGTCAGTGGCTATCAGACCTGGTAAGAAGGCCTCGCTGGTCATCTTTGATAAAGATGGCTCCCTGGTGTACTTCAATAGTTACTGGCCAGAGTGGATCAAGAAACTGAAACAGAGGTTA